CAGACACTGCAGAACACCAGCATGCTGAATGTGAGGAATCTGGCTTCATTGAATGTGTCAGGCAGGTTTCTGGCCAGGAACGCCACAGTGAATGTCCCCAGGGCCAAGAAGCCCAGGTATCCCAGGACACAGTAGAAGGCAGTGACTGAGCCCTTGTTACACATGATGATGATGTGTCTGGGTTCAGAGTGTGAGTCTATGTCAATGAAAGGAGGAGAGATTACCAGCCAGACTCCACAAATAATCATTTGGATCAGGGAGCAAATAGGAATGACAGAGTTAGAAGCCCCTGATAGCAGCAGGTGCCTCATGGTTCTTCCAGGCTTCATTGCCTTGAATGCCAGAATCACAGTAATGGTTTTGGCCAAAATAGTGGAAACTGCCACAGTGAACACAAGGCCAAATGTGACTTGTTGGAGGATGCAGGTGACTGTGTTAGGATGGCTAATGTAGAGTAAGGGGCAGAGGAAGCACAAGAGGAGGGAGATGAGCAGGATGAAGCTGAGAGCCTGGTTATTGGCCTTGACTATGGGAGTGTGTCGATGCTTCACGAAGACCCCCAAAACTGCAGCTGTGACCACAGAGAAACACAGAGCCATGCAGACCATGGACATTCCTAAATAATCAGCAAAAGCCAGAAATGTCACAGACTTGGGTAGACAGTGTGTCCTCTCACGATTTGGGTATTGTTGAGGCTGGCGGGGGATAAGATTTGGGTATTGTTGAGGCTGGCAGTGGATACACTGTTCCGCATCTGGTGGGAAAACAAAGAGCCGGGTTTTGGTTTCACAAATTCTTTGTCTTTGTTATGTTGAAGGTTATGGCCATGTTTATTTCATTTTGCATATAAACAGCTCTCTACTGTGATGCCAAAATACACATTAAAGAGTCTATATTGATGACATTGAGAGAATTCTTTCAGCTGCATATACCACCAGACTCATTGAAAATGAATCTTATCATATGAGAATACTGGTTGGCCCTTCTTGTGCTTTGATGTTACCAAGGATTAGATTCATTTCAGACCTCTTATCTCATCTCCCCTGTTTCCCATGAGTTATAATAGTGACTTCACAAAATAGAAATAAACATCTTTCTTATTTATATTCAGAAAACAATAAACTTTACCTAGTTAATTATATTCTAACCTTTGTCACTACCTTACTAATTTTTTGGTATATAACATGTCACCTAGTAACATAAGACTTTTATTGTACTTTTAGTTTTTTTCAATATTATTCTTGGGAACTTTATGATGTAAATATTAAAAGTGGATTGATGAAATTGAAAACATTTAAACTTTGAATAGAATCTTATTGCTCCTAAATATTTTTTTTGTAAAATAAATGTAATTATTTACTGAAAAATGACATGTAATTTTTAATTTTTCATTTATTTCTACCTGTAACCATAGTTCATTAACCATTTTTATAAGTGGTAGATAATAAATATTTTCAGTTTGCACAGTATAAGGGTTATTTTTATAACAATTCACTACCACTTTTATGTAACATGAAAGCAGTCATAGATCACATGGGAATAAAGGGCATATGTGTGTTTCAATGTCTGTGTTTCAAACTGTAAATAATATTTTATTTACATAAATGGTGGTAGTTTCTCAACTCTTTTTTTTCAGGTAACACTGTTGCAATAGTATTATGTATTCAGAATTAAAAAGTGATTGTCTATTTCCTTTTAAAATTACTTATTCCTATTTCTAGAGTCAGTAAACGCTACTGACTCTGTCTCAAAGACATGCATGGCACACATAAACACATGTATTTTTTCTTCTGGATCTCAAACCCTATATCCCTCTATTTTATGTCTTATTTTAAACACTGTTGCAAATCCTTCATAAGGGAAAAAATTAAATTTTTTTCTTGCCTTCTCATTACCTAAAAATATCTATGTAGTCTTACTAATGATTAAAACCAAATAATTTCTACTGTTATGATTGGGATTGCATACTTGTGGAAGAATTCAAATAATTATATTTACTATTTATATATTAGAAAATGGAAGCAGCGTTTAACAAAACTTTCCACATTTCATATCTGACAGTAACATATTTTATTTGGATATATAATATACTGAATTTATATTTTATATAACAGTTATTATTTGAGGTTTTAGAGTGTGGAACTTATTAGAATGTTGAGTCTTCAATATTTAAAAATATGTCTTTTACTTGCTGTAATATTTCCAAGTGTAGGGTTCTGCTATTAGTTAATTTTGTGAACTTAACACATCGCATGGTTTTTGGAGCATGGTTGAAAAAGTTATTAAACATTTTAATAATAATTTATATGTATTAGCTTTATGCTTGTCATCTGAGTATATACCCGTATCATTTTTAATCTGTTGAAGAACCCACAAATAACCTTGATGATTACCCAACTATCATTTTGGGGAAAACTTCATCATGGTCTAATATGAGATATAAGATTGACACTGTTTATCCAGCACAGGATTGCAAAGAAGGTTGTAGTTTGGAATCAGTTCCAGAGTTTAGCCTAATAGGATGCACTCAGCCAGAAAGAGCTGGCACACAATAGGTCAGTAATTGTGTTTGTAAAATAAATATATTGAAACAATGAGTGGACACATGAATTTTGAGAACAATGGTACTTGATATTCCATTTTGAGTAGTATAGTTTCCTTTTTATTGAGAAATCAGAAGTGGAGTTGTCATAGGGTACTTATATATTTCTTACCTGTTTGATTTGAAATGTCTTGCTCTTTGCAGGGAACACAAAGAAAGCAACAGATAGGTCTTCCTTTCTGGAGAATTTTCTGGAATCCAGGACCACAGCTCTGGCTACACACAGATTTAGGAGTCTAAGTGAAAAAAAACAATAATTAGTCATAATGATGCACATTATCAGCAGCCTTGAAAGGATGTCTACATTCCTCTTCAACTCTGAGAAATATTTGTATTTTAATATGTTTATTAATATTTATTTTCCCAACTCCCACCATGTTCGTATTACCTAGACTTTTTTTTTTTTTTTTTTTTTTTTTTTTGGCTAGAGGGTGCATGCATCCAAAAGGGAGAGTGAGAGGGAAAGGAGAAAGCAACCCACATGGAGAAAGGTCATGCTACAGTTCATTTTCCATATTTCTCTCCTTTGAGAATTTTGGGCATGCACATTAACAGGCCCAGCATGTTTCTCAAGTTACTAGGTCCAGGACTCAGATTTTTGTGAACAGAAAGTTGGTATCTGGCTACCTTAACTAGTAGGCCATGCAGCCTGCCAATAATAACTAGATTTCTGAATAAGAGCTACTATAGTTAGCTTTCCTATTTATAAACCATTTACCAAATATTACCGAGGTACCTAATTACTTTATTTCATGAATGACTTGAAATATCCTTTGGATTATTCTCTTTTCTTCATCCAAAACTATTTTAATGCATATGTCTCCATGGTAAAGATTCAGAGAAGTCATGTTCCTGAGTATATTTATAAGATACACTCATATCTGGTTGGCTAGAAAATTTTAGGTTCTAAATTTTTTAAAAAACCTGATGTGATATGTAGATCCATCATCAAAAGTTAACTATTTGAGGGACAAGCAGTTAGCATAAGGGCTATGTCTCTGGACTCCCATGTAGTCAACCACGGATCGAGTCCCAGACCCAGTGGCTTAAACTCATGCCAGGCACATGTGCATTCATGCCCAAGATCCCAAGAGGAGAATGGAGAAGAAGGGATTGTGGTGTGGCCATCCCCCCTGGGGGGTGATTTCTCGCTTTCTATCTTTCTGTCTCTCTCTGTCTTTCTGGTGAGTGCACGCGTTCTATAGCAAAAACCTCAAAAAAATTAACTATTTGAAACTTATGGACCAACAGATCAACAATGAGAGTGGGATATGAACCATGGTTTGTAGTTAATCCACTTCCAGGCTTCTGAGTTTACATGAGGCACTGTTTTTCAGGTATTAAGAACACAATATATATTTAATGATTGTTATATAAGTCACCTGCCTAGTCCAGTTGATATTATGATCAATGCTTTGAGATGCTTGGTACAATAGTGTTTGAAGATGTAAAGGTATGCAAAAATAACAAGAGGAGTCAAATGAGGTATATGTAGAGGAGTGGAGCCTACCAAAGGACATTTCGAGAAGGGATACGAAGGTAGAACATTGACGGGATGGGGAGGTGTGGTGTTAAGGCTGAAGATATTTGGATCAACAGGACTGGGGAGAAATGTTCACATATTGAAATGCTCACATTGTAAGCTAAACAATGCGATTGAATGTATATACAAAGATAAATAAATAAATAGGAAACCAGCAGTTAGCATAATGGTTATGTCGCTAGACTCCCACGCAGTCGACCACGGTTAGCGTCCTGGACCCAGTGGTTTAAAACTCACGCCAAGTGCATGTGTGTGCGTGCCCAAGATCCCGAGGAGAGAATGGAGGAGAAGGGATTGCGGCATGACCATCCCCCCCAGGGGGTGATTTCTCACTTTCTGTCTCTATGTCTCTCTCTGTCTGGTGAGAGCATGCACCCTATAGCGAAAATCTCTCAAAAAATAAATGAATAAATAAAAATAACAAGAGGACATCAGAATGGTATCTTTACAGAAGTAAACTGTATCTTAATCCATAAATGACTTGAATTTATAGTATATCAAAATATAATAAAGACTGTCCACAAATTATTAAGGTTTTCAGATCTATATATGGCAGTTATCACATAAGGTAATAGGCTAGACCATATAGTTTTTATGTTTAGTTTTTATGTGCAGTAGGCAATGTCATCTAGGTTTGTGCAGGTGTAATTATGATATTAGGCCAACGAGGAAACTACCTAAAGATGAATTTCTGAGAACACATTTCTCTCACTAACATAAACCAGTTTTTTGGTTATATTCATAGTTTAGACTATGTATAAGGAAAATCACATCATACAAAGTCAAGATCTAAAATGTGAATTTAATGCTGAGTTAAAGCAATCACACAGTTTGATTTCGGGACTCTGTTTAGATGCCTCTTATAAATTAAATATTGAAATGACATTATACCTCTTTGAAGCTAGCAGGCCATTTTATCATCTCTTCATTGATTACCAAGTGTTGATCATGGGTGCTCCTGTAGACAAAGTCTCCTACTTTAACTGGCAGTAAATGAGTTAAATTATTATCAGAAAATCTTGCAAAGTTGTAGATACAATACTGTGCCATATTTCTTTCATCTAGATACAGGTTATACTCAGTGTCCATAAGGTGGATTTCCCTCAGAAATAAATGAAGCTGGACAAGAGGCACAATTAGACATTAGTAGCATATTTAATGTAGAGGTGGAAGATATATACCCATCTACTAATCATTCTATTTCCACCTCACTACTCACATTAACTTTTTGGTAGAAGTGTAATTTTTTTTAGCGTAACCATCTCACAGTTTAAATGAAATAAATTCTTTTTCCTCATGGAAACAATGGAAGAATAACTGCATCTAGATTTTTCCTAGAGAGTGTTTTGTGCATGAACTGTTAAAATCCATCTAATCAAATCTGGTTGGAGCTTCTTAAAAGCCAATCTTGGTACTTTATGAAAGACACAATACAAATGGATCATTTTGATCTCTCTCTCTGTCTCTTTTTTTTTGGGAGGGGGGAGATTTTTGCTATAGGGTGTGTGTGTGTGCACCAGAGATTCAGACAGAATGTGAGAAATCACCACCAGGGGCATGACCACACTGCAATCCCTTTTTCTCCATTCTCCTCTCAGGATTTTGGGCATGTATGTACTCACACTCCTGGTGTCAGTTTCAAGCTGCTGGTTCTGGGACTTGAACCACAGTTGACTATGTGGAAGTCCAGCACCTTAACTACTATGCCTCCTGTTGGCTCCAGGCTTGATTTCTTGCTACTTGTGATAATAGTATAAATATATGTATATATCTAAGCTCATTCAAATAAGTACATTATGTATGTGTTATTTATTGAATATCAATTAAACCATAATACAATTTTCTAAGAGGGAACAAATACATTTTACTTATTTTCATTTTTCTTTGCTAGAGAACACATGCACTCATCAGAGAGAAGCAGAGACACAGAAAGAGAAAAGGAGGATATAGCCCAAATAAAGGGCAGCCATGTCACAATCCTTTCTCCTTCATTTCTCCTTTTAGATTTCTGGACATGCACATACACATGCCAAGCATGTTTCTCAAGCCTCTGGACTGGGACACTGTGTGGTAGGCCATGTGAGATCAAGCTGCCATAGCCACTAGGACACAGAGCTGCCCCTGTTGTTTTTTTAGGGAATTTTTCTTTTGTTGTTATTATTGTATGATATCATAAGGAATGACTCATAACAAGTATAAATTTAAAATTCTTTAATTTTAAAATGCCTTTTAAAAAGCATATTTAGCTCTTTTTTGTTTTTACTATTATTATTTCAATTTCTTTTATACATTCAATCACATGACTTAGCTTGCAAAGGGAAAATTCCAACATGTGTACATTTCACCTGGTCCAGTTGACAATATTATAAGGTTATCCCTCAACAGATAATAACCCATTTCTTTGTCCCATAAATGCCTTGCCTCTCCATTTTCCTATTTAATATACTTCCTTAGGCTCTATTCCTTCATCCTCCTTTTCCCCACACTATATCTGGTATATTAAGCTCTTAACCTTCAGGCTTATGATATTCTGTTGTAGAAAACAAGCTTTATTTCTTATACCACTGTTATTGAAGTCTTTAATTTTTGAAATAGAAGCATATAAGTAATCCTGAATCTCATCTATGGAGGCATCTTTTTTTTTTTTTTTTGAGAGGATTTTTCTATAGGGGATGTGTGCTAGACAGACAGACAGAGAGAGACAGAGAGACAGAAAGCGAGAAATCACCCCCCGGGGGGATGGCCACGCCGCAATCCCTTCTCCTTCATTCTCCTCTCGGGATCTTGGGTATGCACACACACGTGCCTGGCATGAGTTTAAGCCACCGGGTCTGGGACTTGAACTGCGGTCGACTACATGGGAGTCCAGCGACATAGCCATTACTCTAACTGCTGGTCCCTCTATGGAGGCATCTTGATGAAATTACCTGCTTTTTTTAAAAAAACTCATTTAACTATAGTTTATTTTAAATGTATTATTATTATTATTTATACATTCAATTGCTATACATCATTTAGATTGTAAAGAGACTTTACCCAGCATGATATACACCTCAGTCCAGTCCAGTTGAAAATACTATACACAATATAGTATTGTCATCAACAGGTAATAAACCATATCTGTGTGCCACAAATGTTTTACCTCTATTTTTTCCCCAAATTTCCTTTCCTACATTCTTCCCTTTTCTAAGAATTACCTTTAACCTTTCTCAAAGTGCAAATTTTCTCAAATATTATTAGTCATACAAGTAGAAATAAGATGGTAAATTAAATTTTCTGGTAGTGTTAATTATATATATATATATATAAAACTTATTTATAAACCAGATAAGATAGCTTGAGCTTATGTCCTCATAAGTAGTTTCTCACTTTAAAATCAAACAACAGTACCTGTTCTCCTGATTTTTGCAAATAAATACAGGTACATTTGAAATAAGTTCTTTCCATGTATCATTTTAGGATATTATGTAAAACCCATTCCTGATCTCCATATAAGTATAATATGGAGAGATTGGACCACAGCATCTACATCACTATAGATAAAATAGCTGGTGGTAAATATGGTCATTATGTCAAGAAGTATTGATATTGGATACATTGCTAGGAAACACATATAGATTTCAGCAATTTTTTTGAGAAATTTTTGCTATAGGACCTGTGTGCTCACCAGACAGACACAGAGAGAGAGAGACAGAAAATGAGAAACTACCCCCCATACTTGCACATCAATGTTTATTGCAGCATTATTCATGATCATGAAGACATGAAACCAACCCAAATGTCCATGAACAGATGAATGGATTGAAAAAGTGTGGCACACATATTCTATGGAATACTACTTAGCCAAAAACAAACAAACAAACAAACAAACAAGAAGACTCTGGCATTTGATAGAAAGTGGTCAGATATGGAGGATCTATTGCTGAGTGAAGTAAGCCAAGATATGAAAAAAAGATATTGTATGTATTCACTGAATATATACCAACTATCCGCACTCTATGTAGAGATCAAAATATTGGAGGGCATAAAAGCAGTGAAAATAGTTAACAATGATAAGACAGTGTGGAATGGGGTGGGAGAAGAGAAGAGCATAGAGAAAAATAGCAAGAGAACAAATAGAGAGGCTTGACATTAGTGGGACACAGATATGGTTTATTACCTGTTGACGACGTGTATAGTTTTCTCAACTGAATTGGTCTGAGAAGTATTTCATGTTGGAAAAAGTATTTTTGCAATCAAAATGATAAATAGTGATTGACTGTTTAGAAAAATAATTGGAATAATAATAATTGGGAAAAAAATGAAAAGCCATTAGATGGTAAAGATGGGGATTTTAAGGTCTCTGTATTAACTGATATGCATGATATTCCTTCTGGAAAAAGAAATGTAATACACTGTAATGTTATATGTAACTCAATGGGATATAAACAAGATTATAATAAATATTAAAAAAAATAAATCACCCCCAGGGGTATAGCCACACCATAATCCCTTCTCCTCCATTCTCCTCTTGTGATCTTAGGCACGCACACACATGCACCCGGCATGAGTTTTAAGTCGACAGGTCCAAAATTTGTACCACAGTCGACTACATGGAGTCCAGCAATGTAACTCATGTCATCTACTGAAACTGATTTAAGAAATTTTTAATCTCTGTTTTGTCGTCAGTCTTTTTAGATGTTTTACAGTGTTTCATTCTGCCTTAGGAAATACTTACCTGATATAATTAAATATGCCACATACAACTCTCTAATGGCAAAATTCTCTAAATACATATAATAATGCCACATGTACCTGTTCAAAATTTTTCTTTAATTTTGCTTATTCTGTTGATTTTAAGAAGAAAACATGGTCATGATGTATTTTAATAAAACACCTCTAAATTTATTGGGGATTTAATGCATGTGATTGTTGTGTAGGATGTTTACCTGCCTGGAAAGAAGCATTGGGTCCTTTGCATCTTCAGCAGTTATCATTTCTATTTCTTGAAAAAACATTATATCAAGTATTTGGGCTACCATGTACACAGCGTCATAGGTTAAAACACTGAAGTCAGACATGGTTATTGTGTCGACCTCAAATAACATAAACTCTAAGGAAGAATTTGGTGGGCAGTCTTTAATTTTGCCACATAGTAATCCATCACGTGAACAATTTAAAGAAGAAATCCATAATTCATGTAAATAAAAGTCTTCTGGATATTGGGAAGGTTCAATGGTATTGATAAATTGTTTGAAGCCAGGGATTTGTTTTACTTTGCTTGAGAATAATAGCATTTCTTGAAATAGGTGTGGCTTTTCAGCCACAGCGGAAATAAGTTCTCTCCACTGTGATGAGTGGAGATTTCTCAGAATCCACACTTTTCCCAAAATTAGATAGAATTTTTCTGCCAAACCGAGGCTCCAGGCACTTTTTTCATCACCAAGAATTATATACACGTTGACAGATGGAACTCTGATTTGGGTCTTATCATTGAAATTATGGAATGTATTGATATTTGGCGGGGAAGGTAGCTTTTCTGTGAAGGCTACACAGATGTGCTTTTGAATCATCTCTGCATTTAGAACTTGAAGAAACTGCTCCTCTTTTATATCATCGGATACATAGAGTGCCACCCATGTCCAGCC